GCACCCGGTCTGGGCCCAGAACCACCGCACCGTGAGTCTGGCCAAGAGGGTAATCCTGGGGCCCTGGCTCTGTGCCCTGCTCCTCACCTTGCCAGTCATCATCCGCGTGACGACAGTGACGGATGTGCGTGGGACTGGGAAAACAGCCTGCACTTTTGACTTCTCTCCCTGGACCAAAGACCCTGCAGAGAAGATGAGAGTGTCCATCACCATGCTGACGGTCCGCGGGATCATCCGGTTCATCATCGGCTTCAGCATGCCCATGTCCATCGTTGGCATCTGCTACGGCCTCATCGCCAAGAAAATGCACAGACAAGGCCTGATCAGATCCAGCCGTCCTTTACGGGTCCTGTCTTTTGTCGTAGCTGCTTTTCTTCTCTGCTGGTGCCCGTATCAGGTTGTGGCCCTCATAGCCACCGTCAGAATCCGTGACCTCTTGAGAGGTCTGGGCAGTGATCTGAGATTAGCCATCAACGTGACCAGCTCGCTGGCCTTCCTCAACAGCTGCCTCAACCCGATGCTCTACGTCTTCATGGGCCAGGACTTCCGGGACAGGCTGATCCACTCCCTGCCGGCCAGTCTGGAGAGGGCCCTGAGCGAGGACTCGGCCCAGCCCAGTGACACAGCCACCAACTCTTCCTCGCTCCCTGCAGAGGTTGAGTTACAGGCAAAGTGAGGGGGGCGGTTTGGGGTCACCTGGGAGCTCCAGTCCCAGGTTCCTCTCTCCTCAAGTGACACTGTCCCCCAGCTGTGGGCTGCCCATCTCATGCCCCTTGATTTGGGGAGAGGGAAAAGACGTGAGGTTACTGCTGATGTCTTTTTTTTGTTTTTCTTTTTTGCCTGCTTGGTCAGAGGTGAGAAGAGAAATCATGCATCCTCATTAACCCAAAAGGGTCCCAGTTGATACCTATTACCCTAACACCATTAATAATGTCCACTTCATTTCTCAAAAGTGTCCTGCTGTGGACAATCAACTGTAGGGTCACCTTAGGAAATGAAGGAGGAGAGAGAGGTAGGGCTTAAATCAGACAAAAAATTTACAAGGTGTTTTGTAAGAGGCCTCAGGCCAAAAAGTAAATGCACCGTGGAGCTGTGGAGATGTCAGCTGAAGCCCTTGAAGTCCGGGTAAGATTGCCTAATTCCTCCTGCGGTAAAGGCTGGGGAAACCCATCGTCCTCCCCACAGGGCGGGCCTCGGGGCGCCAACTCTGGCTTCAGTGAAGGATGAGTCCAGTTCACAGAGTATCCGGTGCCTGTTACCCTTGCTCTGAGCTTGGCTCACCCAGAGTGGAACCCAGGAAGTTCCCTAAATTCCTTTAAAAGCTGCTCGCATGAGATCCTCCAATGGGGAACACGCTTTCGAGAAGTTTGGTAATGTGGGATCTGGGCCGGTCAGCCCCAGAGCAAGGTGAGAGTGTCCAGCTGAACTTCAGACACCCTCGGAGCCCATCCTCCCTCCCAGCTCCTCCTTCAAGATTTCTGCTTTTCTTTTCCTTTTTTTTTTTTTTATTCCCAATTCAGAGCTCTCTACTCCTCACACCCTGGTCTCTGCCTTCCTGTCCCCCCCCCCCATCGTCCCAACCCAAGCCAATTATCAGTGACAGCATCCTTTCTGAGAGGATGAGGGAGTCGCTTAAACACCACGCACTGAGCATCACATTATTCCATGTTTAAAAAGAGAGAGAGAGAGAGAGAACACAAAAGGAAGAAAATGGGAGAAGAAAGAGGGATGCGGGAGAAGCCCAAGGCTGGGCAGCGATGGCTGCTCTCAGGACTCAGCCCCTTCCCTGGACTCCCAGAAGATCTTTCCTGAGCAAACCCAGGCGCCTTCCAAGCCTTCATTTCAGCATCCGGAGCCTTGATACAATCTACCCTTCTGACCCTCAGCCTCTGCAGGGCATTGTCTGACTCCTTTAATAAATGGTTGTTGCATCAAACCTTTTGTTCCTGCACCTCTTTTACAGTTATCCAGGGAACTCGCGCAGCCGGTATCTCTTTAGATCTCCAACCCCCTGAAGTCAGCTGACTTCTTCCTATCTTGACATACGGGGAAATTGAGGCCAGGACAGGATGTGGTACCAGGTTGGAGGACCCACCCAGTCCTTGCACAAGAAAGCCCTCATTTCTGACACAAATAGAAAGTTCAGAGGTTCCCCCAAACACCCTCAGTTTCTCTAATTTGGTAGAAAGAGTCACAGAGAGGAGGGAGGAATCCATCTGAGCAAAGAAGATGTGAGAGTTGACAACAAGGAATCTCGGATTGCCGGGGCAGAGAGAGGTCACCTGACAATATCCAGCTCCTCCTCCGACTGAGATGTGCTCTTTGCAGGTGTCTTCCCTTAAATCCCCTTGTGTTCTTCCAGTGCAGATTGTGAGCTTAATCCAGCTAGAGGGGGATTTGCAAATTGCAAAGAATGATTCCTTCCTAAATTCTCTAAGATACTTGCCAGGATGTATTCAACCGGTCGGTGCCTGTGGCTGAGGCTGACCAAGCTGAGGGAAATGGGCATAACTTGGTGAGTAGGTATTGCCCTCTGCCCGACCTGCTGGGGAATCACCTGGTCCCGCATGGACCAGAAATAAAAGGCAGGAGAGAATGGCCCAGGATGTGGCATAAAGAACAAGGACAGCCAGGTGTGGTAGTAATCCCAGCAGCTCGGGAGGCTGAGGCGGGTGGATCACAAGTTCACAGCCAGCCTCAGCAGCTTAGCAAGGCCCTAAGCAACTCAGTGAGACTCTGTCTCTAAATAAGATATCAAAAAGGCCTGGGGATGTGGCTCAGTGGTTAAGCACCTCTGGATTTAATCCCAGGTACAAAAAAAAAAAAGAACAAGGACAGTTGATAGCCCCTGTCCACTCCCAAATCCTGAGGATATCCAGCTCACCCCTGAATGCTGCATCCACGAAAAACAAACCCCTCCAATAGAAGTTAGACACTAAGAATACAGACCTCTTGTCACACTGTCTGGACTGGAATCTTGACTTCACTTAGAAGCTCTATGATTTGGGGACGGTCTATTATTTTTTTCTGCATCAATAATTCAGTAATAGTCCCCTCTATAAAGAGACAACACATTAAAATTATTTAATTGAAGAGAGTTTAATGAAGGTACATGTAGGGTTAAGAGAACCAAAGAAAGGGTGATATATGTACCAGTGGGTAGCAATGTGCTGTCTTCATTTCCGGGGCTGTTGTAACATGTACCACAAATTTGGTGGGTTGACAAAACAAAAATTTTGTTATCCAAATGTTCTGGAAGTCAGAAGTCTGAAATGGGTTTTGCGGGGCTAAAATCAAGTATCAAGAGTGCTGTTTCTAACAGAACTTCTAGCAAAGAGATCCTTCCCTTCCCCTTTCCAGGGGCTGGCCATCTTTCCACGACCTAAAGCCACTTTCTCCCTCTTCAAATCCAGCAGTGTGGCACCTCCAACCCTGTCTCACACTCCCACCCCGCTGCCGCCCTCCTTCACCTAGGACACTGGTCCTGGGGATGATCCAGAATTCCCTCCCGTCCCCTGACTGCTGGGCTCTCCTATGAAAGGTGTGCTTCGGTGGTTGTCTCTAGGAACTAGCTAGAGATTAATCTCCCCCTGCATCTAAAATCCTGTCAACTGTCAAAACGTCATAAAATGCTGAAAATATAAAACACGATCAATGCTCTCTCAGCTCCCCCACCCCGGGCTGGGTCACGGGGGTCATGAACCGTGTGATTCCTCCCCCCACCCATCGTTCTCTGGCCCACCCCCTAGTCCTCAGGCCCCATATGCTGTGGTGATACCCTGAGTACACCTCACACGCCTCCCCCTCCTCTCCATCCTCACAACCACCGCCCTGGCACACGTCTTCAGTGGCCAGACTCGCCCGGGCCTGCGTCCCTGGCCCAGCCCCAGGTGTGTGCTGCACACCACAGAAGACACTCGGGTTCATCTTCTGGATTAGCCAGGGTTCTGCAGAGAGAAGGAACCGATCGGGTGCTCACAACCAATACGTAGAATGAGAGGTGTCAAGAGAAATGGGCTCACGTGGTTATGGGGGCTGACAAGTTCCGAGACCCTCAGTTGGCAAACTGGAAACCAGGGTGTTTAGTTACAGCCCAAGTCCCCGGGCCTGAGAAGAGGGAGCACTGACACAGAAGGTCCTGTGTAAAGGCCAGCAGGCAGGAGAGCCAGGAAGACCTGAGGTTTCCGACTGAGAAGAAGTCAGGGCTCAGTCTGGAGGAGGTCAGCCTTTCCCACTCAGCCTCGGGTCCACTGAACGAGCCTCATCCACATCAGAGTGACAGGCTGCTCGACTCAGCCACAACACAAAGGTACACCTAATTTAAAAAAGCTTCACAGAAACACGCAGAGTAATGTGTAACCAAACACCTTGTCACCTGTGTCCCAGTCAAGCTGACACATAAAAGAAACCAGTGCATCTCCGGAAGCCGTCCCCCACCACCTTCCAGGCCGCAGTGCCCATGTCCGTGGCTGTTGGGAAATCAGGAGGAAGCCCAGCTCCTCTTACTCAAAAGGTCCACTTCCCCTGCTTGTTCCCCAGCTCAGCTCGGAAACCCCTGAAGCTTGGGAAACACTCCAGGAATGACGACAATTCAGAGAAACCCCAGGGCAGAACCCGCAGCCTGGGTCAGAAAATAGTTCTCCAAAAGAGGGGAACGTGGAGCCTCGGGTGCTGAGGAATCCCAGGCACCAGGGGCCCGGGGCCTTCATCCCTTCAGCTGCCGCCGTCTCGTCTCGCTTGTCCAATGAGTGTGTCACCGTCCTCCAGAGAGGTCGTCTGCACACTGCACAGAGACAGCGCTTATTGCTCTACAGGAATGTGGAGCAGCCCAGCCGTGGTCGGGTCTCAGGGATGCCACCTTGAGTGACGGAAGCCAGACACAAACGAAGCCCCATTGGGTGGTTCCTTCGACCCCAGGCCGGAGCCCAGGGCAGCTATGCACAAGGGTTAGAGGTGGGGCGCTGCCTCCCTGGGCTGGGACCAAGGGGGCCCAGGAGGACGTTGTGCTGCCCGATCCAGGCTCCGGTTTCAGGGCCATGTGAGCAACACAAACACATTTTGAGGGTGTGTTTATGACATGTACCAGGTTCTGGGTGTATGTTAACGTTTTGACAAGATCTTTACTGAGAAAGGCAGAAAAGGGGGGAAGGAATGGAGGGAGAAAAGAAGAGAGGAGGGAGAGAGAGAGAGAGAGAGAGCGAGAGCACTTTTCTTATAAGTACCGCGTGCTAACCGATTGCGCCACTGGAGCTCCAAGAGAGCACTTTTCGACATAAAGGAGACAAAGGGTGAGTTTCGGGCTTTTCTGCTGCTGAGCAGATGAGGAGGGTGGGCAGGCACAGGACTCCTGCAGAAGGTGGAAATCGTCTCTGATCTCCCCGCCCCACCCTCATGCACACACCTGGACACAGAGAGGGGAGGCAGGGGGTCACCAGCCCGGGGCATAGAAACGTCTGGGTTCTGAGTCACCCGAAGCATCTGGTCAGTGCCTAAGGGAGAGATGGCACCCTTAACAAAGTCCCTTTATGGTCAACATTAATCCTAAGGGCCAGGGCCAGCCGCAGCTCCAGGTCTTCAGATAGCCAAGGGCCTGGATTTCTGGGCATCTGACCTGTGGAAACCCTGTGTTTCTCTCCCTTACGCCCCACCGACAAAATGAGATGGGTCATGACAACTCACAAAGGGATAACTGTTAAAATTCCAGAAATTTTAGGAACCACTTTTACAAGTTAAATAATACACCCTTCCAGTGAAAAACACAGAGTATTAAAAACAAAGCCAATGGATTCTTAAAGCCCATCACTTCCTGATTAGGTTGGTATATTTTGATAAACCATGTCCCTACATATGCTGCCATCATTGTCAGCTTTGATCTGACTCTCGAACTTCAACAGAAAAACCAGCCAACATTCACGTGGGAACAACACTCCTCATCAAGGACGTGAGCTACCTCTTGACTGAATTGGATCACTCTGAGCATTTATTTGTAGTCTCATTTTTCTGGTGACAGAATTAGAAAAACTGGAACTCGATTTTGCAAAAACTACTCCCCCCCCCCCCCTTCCTTCTTCTTCTTTACAAGAAATGTCACCTTGAAGTCATAATTGTATGGAATTTACAATAAAGAGAATGACATAATATTATTCAGAAATGATATGCAACATTCTTTAAAATTAGTGAAATTTATTGTGTATCTCTCTATAGAAGTAGATTTCCCCTGGAGAGGCAGATGCTGTTGATTTATCAGCACAACGTGGCGCGGACCTGTGCACACCTGTCTTGGAATCTGTAAGAAACCTGTTAAAATCCCAGCTGCAGCAGTAATTGTGTGACCTCACACTCGTCCCTTCCCTCTCTGGGCCTTCTTTACTGTGGCCATCAGAGAGGTGAAGTGGGCAGACGTTGGTGTGAATCATGGCCACCGAATCACGGCCACCACCAACATCTTGGCTATTCCCACCTGCTGGAGACTGCTCTGCTCACCTCTGCTGCCTCTGTCCTCTGAGATCCAGGCCACAGACACAGCACCTCCCGTCTGACCAGCCTTTCCTCCTGGTCACACCCGTCTTTAGCAATCAATAGACTGGAGAACCCTTGAGCAGACTTGGTTCTGGACCTGTGTGGGAGACCAACCTCGCATATAACTGAGTTAACTCCCTTGCTGGGCCATGTGACATCAGGCACCCATGCTGCTAGACTGCCCCACCTTTCTAGGGTTTGAGTGACTGTGTCTTCCTACAGCCCCAAGAGTGGAGCTAGGCTCACCTGTTCCTTTGTAATATAACCCCTTGCCCTGTTTAGGGTAGAATCTTCCATGGAAGTGCCTTGTGTGTGTCCCCTTCTCTTACTGTGCCCTTGGGTGTAGCCTACCCAGGTGTCAGTCAACCTGCTGACAGTGGACATCATGAAGATAGACTCAGCCCCTGAAACCTGACC